TTGGAGCTGCACAATATGTTTTGAACATTTTGAGCTAGTGATACGGTAGTTGATTTGGGCATGCCTGAATATAAATGGCGAATAGTAGCCGTGATTAAAGTGGTCCTTGAGATTGTTAATTATATGATCCAATTAAAGTTCGCAGTTAAAATAAGGATAGATTCCACACCACGAGGGTATGCTCTTTGCATTTATATTAATTATAACTGGTAGGTTTAATTTACTAAGATTATTTTAAAATTGTGTATATATTTAATTCAACAAAAACATGACCCGATCTTCCGTTAGTGGCATTTTTTCAGTCTATGGGGCTGTAAAGAAGTTTTAGCTTTATTATCTAAAGGGCAAGTTAGATATATTGTTTTGGTCTATAGGGTCGAACAAAGCGTTGTTGGTAACTGTCTACGGGACAGCTTATTAGGAGCTTAAGTCTAGAGGGCCTGTGTATTTTAAAGGAGCCTAAAAGCTTAAAAAAAGATTTGAACAGGGACTCCAAACTTTAAATCTTTAACGGGTAAACCCTGAGGCTTAGGATAGATTTGTGCCTTTCTGCAAAATCAATTTCCGTGTTGAAACTATACTTTAAAGGCCAATATTTGTCTTCAAATTTTGATTCTATACCTCCCAATTAATATTTTAAAGTAAAACCATAAAAATTGTTTACTTACCTATCCAACCAAAAATAACCTTTCATCCAGAATAAACACTTTTTTGTCCAATAAAAATATTACGAAAACACATGCTTAGCTTAACGTTCACTGGTAACTAAACTTATCAATTTTTTAGTCTTTGTCGGTTACTGTCTAATTCTTTAGGACATGGTACCCAAACTTACCAAAGGTCGCTTCAGAGACCAAGTCTGTCGTTTAGGGTCAATTCCCATAGACCTACTCTTTTAAACTGAACCTAGGCGGTAAGTGGTAAACATAGCAACCAGTAACCTATAAGGGGTTGTATCTGTCATTTATATTAATTTTTTCCATGTGGACTGTGAGTTTTTTCTTTCATAAAAATTTCTAATTACCTGGATTGGGGACATGAAAGTGTGAAACTTGGCCATCTTGCGTACAAATTCGTTACACCAAACTTATTAAAGACTTTCTTAAAATCTGGAAAGCAAATTAATAATTTGAGATAAATGGTTTTTAAAAATTGCAGGTCATGGTAGAAAATTTCTATTTAAAATATTTGAAATCTAAATTTTATGATTTAAAATTTTTTAAATAAAGTAAATTAAGATTGTAATAGTGAAAAAGACCAGAGAATATTAAATATTGAAGATGTATGAGTGAGGATGAAGCAATAAATACATCTCCTTGCACATTTTTGGGGCAGTGTATTCCCCTCCGAAGGAGTAGAATGACTGCCCAGAAAGGCTAAGAAACAGTAATAAAATACCGGTCCAGCCTGCACTAGTCACTAATAAAAAATATAAAAAAAAGTAAGGAACACCTCCTTTTTCTTCTTATTTCCCTCTTGTCTTGTTACCTTTTAAACATACTAACATTAATTTAAAAAAAAGAGAGTACTAGAATATTGTACTAAGCCGAAATGCACATTAATTGAAAAATGCTTAACAGAGAACTTTATGCATAAATATCATATAGTCATATAGTTTGGCGGGAAGGTAACCGCGGGGAACAAACTAGGGTTAAATATACCGATACAAGGTAGAGAGAATCCAGAAACTTTTTTTTATAAGGTATATAAAATACTACCTTCTAAAAGGCGCCTGCTCTCCTCTAACTAAGCTTTTATGTTTAGGTTAAAATTCAAATTAGCTAAATATTATCTTTCTACATCATTAAGTATTTTAACGGGAGATGGGTATGTATTCCGACAGGCTAGAACTGGCGCGCTCAATCCCTTAGATGCAGCTCCCTTTTTCTGGTCAAAGTGGTTGGTATGTCTTTTTTAAAAACAAATTCTAATATTTTTATAATAAACTTGGTTATTTTAACGTAAACATCTCCACTTTTTTTATAGTCAGTTATGTTTCTATACCTTTTTCTAAACCCTAACCTTAACCTGAAGGGAGAAAGAAAACATGACACCTACACTATACTTTTCACAAAAGTCTAGTATGGATATACACTATCGTGCAAAATTGTTTCAATGTTTCGCATTTTTCCCTTTAATATAGAATAAATTTTCAATAACTTTTCAATAACGTAATGGATTACTTTAAAATTTATACACAGTAAGCTTCCATGTCCTAGCTACATTTTGTTAATACGATCTTAAATTGGTTTAATATTCGAAAAGATCTGAGCTTGTAAAGTTTAAAGATTATAGAAATAATTTTGCACGTAGAAGAAATTTAATTTAGTGAACGAGGTCTTAACAAATGGTAAAGCCCCCTTTTGCCAGAATCATTGCATGTATCCTCTTTGACTTAAGATAATATTTATTATTCATTTTAACTATCTAAGTAGTCTTGAGCTTAAACTCAGTTATTTAAATTTCATCTTCTTTGAAAGCGATAAACCTTGATTAGGTATTTCCTATTTGATTTGTTCAATAGTTAGATACTCTAGATACTTATAACTTTTAAGCAGAGTCTAGAATCTATAAGCGGCGCGGTTATATATATAGTACTAGTACTATAGTATAACTATAGTACTAGTAACAGACACTAGTCTGTTCAGTGCAGCTAAACCAGTCACCGCAATTCGCAGTAACGAGCCGCGACACGGATAACAGTGTATGTTACCAGTACCATAGCACAGGCTTAACCGATAAGGTAAGATTAAGCATGCGTCCTTCGGAACAAAGGATTATACTATAGAACCATTACTCATCATAGAGCTCTTGCTCGAGCGGCTTTCGTCAATGGTACTCACCGTCAACTAGAGTAGTGTGCTCTACAACCTAGCAGCTTTCGTTAACTATTTATCTAGTATTCAAGTTAACTACAACGGATAAGCCTAAGCAAATTAGATTTAAAACTTGCTTCAGCTGGCAATGCCAGTACTCAACGTTAAAAGGTCAAACAAGTAAACAGTAGTTATCTGTTTGTGTGGTATGGCTTGATATCTTTATAAAGTCATTAAACTTGCGAGCACTTTGGCATACTGGGATCTGATTGTGGCATTGATCCGGTGTTATATTTTTCCATTCTGATTGAACGAGTCCAAAGCTCGTCCAAGTTAGCAGGAGCTAATTCATTTGATCCCAGTATTCTCTTTAAGGCTCTCCATGCATGTTCAAGGGGTTGAGATCAGGAGATTACGGAGGCTTGACTAATCTCCTTCAACTGTTCTGGTTGACTCTCAGTAGTTTTCCTATTTGTTCTTATATTTTTGTTTTAATACAATTACTCTTTTCATATTTTCTGCTTATCTTTAATTTATTTTAGTTTGCTTTGTTATTTTTATCAAGTTTCTGACTTCCTATTGCTCTTATTGCTGCTATTTTCGCGCTCTTTTTCTGGGTAGAGCGTTATAATTTTTACTTTGATTATAACACCTTGAGTGTGCGCTTCAATCCTCTTACGCCCTGAGCTATGATGACAACTCTCAACCCTAGTAAATAAAAAATTTATTTGTAAAATCTGTTACTATTAGCCGTATACTGTCTTCTTAAAAAGGTCCTTGCAGGTCCTGCGTAAATTATAAATTTTAACTGCTTTTTGGAGCCCACCGCCTTAAAACCTCTTATTTTTAGCATTTTTATTTATAATAATGCAGTATTTAAAAGGCTTTTTATTATGCTAGTAGGTGAGCAACTATGTCACTGAAAGTGTTAGAATGGTGTACGCTTTATAACGTATTATTCGAACCCAAGAAGTTCGCTTTAGAAGTTGGGGTTTATCTTAACGTTAAAGTACTTTACGAGATCTACTCTTCACATTATTCAATTCGTAAAACTACAGAAGGCCATTTGCCAGCGTATGTGTTAATTTGATCTTATATAAGGGGGTAACTCAAGAAGCAACAAATTACTAGACTATAATAAAACCATAAATAAGTTATCTCTTAATATACTTTAAATTATAACGCTCTCTTAGTTATTAGAGAGATGGTGATAGGATTACTAGAGCCCTTCTAAGTAAAACAAGTTTTAAAACAGATTTGTTAGCCAGTTTGTTGACCTTTTTAAGTTACCTTTCGTTTTGCTTTTGTAATACTTAAACTTTTGCTCTTTACCTATATATAACAATATATTATTTATCTGTATCTATTTTCACTAATTTTGTTCCCATCCTTTTTTAAACAACTACTTAGTATTGATTCTATTTTATGACTTTAATAGTAAAATTTATAAACTTTATAGACATTTTTAAAAGGGATTTGAAGATAAGTTTGAAAGGCAGAGAGATATTTAACTTGAACGAAACCAGGAGTTAACCAAAGAATATAAACAAATTGGAAGAATAACTGTTAATTTTCGATTAAACGCTTTACATATTTAAGTGGTAGCTCCCGAAGCTTGATAGAGTCAATAAACACCGATTTACGAGCTACTCTCGACAGGTGAAAGCCTATATTAAATTTCCTACCACGTCAAGAGGTGGATGTCCATTGAGAAAGATCTAATGTCTCAAGTTCTAGAAGCCTAATAAGGTGAATCAAAAATCCTGACTACTATTATAGCGAAAGTGAACTTTTCTGCCAGTAATCGATTAAAGTGATTATGAAACCTTTCGTAAATGGCAACGGTATTACTTTTAAATACAGCAGTCAAGCCCGCAAATGACGTTCTTACTGTAAAGCTATGTTTCAGTAAACTATGGCGCTCCCCTCATAAAGCGTAGAACCTTGTCTTATCTTAATAGAAGAGAGGATGCTATTGCGGTGAGACCCCTTCCAATCAACTGAGTTTATTCATATTAGAGAACACTATATTTAGTATTAGAAATAAAGATCTACTTTCTCAGAAAACTTACATTAATTAAGCTTGAAAGTAAATCAAAAAGAACTTTATTACTAGTAATAAAAATTACTGAAGTCCTTGTTTCAACTTCAAGTAATTCTTCACTTTTCTGCGTTAGAGAGAGTTGAAATTTCTGTTTTGAATAATATAATATAACGGGAAATACTGGGAGGATTATATCATCCAAGTAGCGGACCACCAGTCATTCGCTACCCGCATAAAAACATCACTCTGTAGAGCCGATTAAAAACCTTGAAACAATCCTTTGTGCGCCTTCTATAACCGCGAATCTGTTATTAAACAAAAGCAACTTTGAGAGTGCAATTATTACACGTTATATTATTACTTTTTTAATACCTCCCCGAAACTTATAAGCTGCAACAGTTACTTTGAGTCAAGTTGTAAGTTTCCTCTGTTTTCAGCTTTTGGTAAATTCATAAACTCTTCGGCACTTGAGAGGAAATTCCACGACTATTTCCTGGTAGTATTGACTATAAGCAAGTGGCGCTCATAAAGGTTAAAAAATGGCCTTAAACTACAGCCCCTTCAACAACAGAAGTCTTTTTTAAATCTATGCTCACTAAAAGGCAGTCTTAGGGATTTTAAGGGGTGCACGAACGCACGTATAAACAAAAAATAGATGAGTTCTTTAAAATATAAATATCTACTTAAGGAAAAAAAAGATAAATGTTAACTCCAACTATCATAAAAGCAAAAGCAAATTTTGTTTTATGTCAAACAGGAGTTCTATATCTAGCAAGTATACAAAGAAGGAAGTCTCAAGTTTATGAAATAAACAAGGACTGCTGGAATCTTGCTAAAAACTTATTAAACAAATTAAGTTTATACAAATAAAATAACACCTAAAAACCATTACCTTGCTTTGAGACAAATAGCCTTTATAAGAAGATCGATAGTTTGTAGTTGAAGGTATAGGCAGACCTAATGACTTAATATATTTATAGTCCGTTAACACATTACCAATAAGAATCGTCGGGGTCCGTAAGTGAAAGAGCAAACAAAGCAGCGTGAGCTTTAATGTATAGCCCTAAATAAATTAACATATCACGAGTGCCTTTAGAGTGGAGACAGCTGCAAATTGAGGGCAACAATTTAGTCTTGAGTAGGAGGATCCAATACTAGGCTGGCAAAAGTGTGCTATTTGTTTTATTTAGTAGCCTATTAAAGTTCCCTCGCCATGTTTGTAACGCCCAATTATCTCCATCTTTGTCAGGTGTAACTGCAAAGCAATAGCCTTACCTTTTACCAAAACTATTATTTTAAGCGTTCCAGTTCGGAGTACATGTTTCGAAGCCGGTCCGCCAGGCGTACATCTATCAGGTAATTTTATATTTAGCCAAATGAAATTTAAAACTTTGAAAAGTAAACTTCTTGACATATCAATTTTAATTCTATGTTTTTATGCCTACCTAATACTTTTTGCGCGGGAATATTATTTAAATTAAGGCCATAAGTCTTTCTTTAAAAGTTTTAATTTATCTTGGCGGCACAATATGTCGCAGGTTTTTGGTTGAATTTGCAGATTTTCTGCCTTATACTTTTAAAGTCGGCCTAGCTATGTTAAGTTAAAAGCTTTTAAGCTTTTATTAACATCTTACAATGCTATAATTATCACGATTACGTTTTAAATAATTTTTATAATACTTTAGTTAATGTTACCATGGTATACAGCGTCTCAAAACTTATTCTGCTTCATGTGAAAATTTCGTTTGCCCTGTAAATTTAACTCTTTGTTTGTTAAATTAACCTATGATTAACTGATATGATAAGTTGGCCTTTTAGCTTTAGCTTTAAGTATTTAATATAATAGGTAAAAGTCTAGTCTGTAATTTTTTCCAACATCATTTGAGTTATATTTACCGAAAAGTAAAATGTGCACTTTTTTTTTAATTTTACTGACTTATTAAAATTATGTAATCTAGTAGGTGGTAGCTATTTGCTAGCCCTTTTTACTTTCGTATGTTTTGCCTACTATTCACTCGCTTTCTGTTCTAAGATAAGAATTTCAGTCATGATTAAGAGTAGAAACACTAACTTTAAAGAGATTTAGTGTATGAGCTTTTACACAACTTAAAAAATAAGTTTATAATAACATTTATAACTTAGTGTATGCTGCTTTATTTAAGAATTAGACAAAGTAAACCAGGTTAAATTTTACAAGCAATTATTAAGCGTAAAGAAATCCTGCTGTACGTAGGACCGAAACTCCTCTCTCTATGTTTGCCATAATATATATAACGATTTATTGTAATGTTAGCGCAAGTAGAGAAATTAAGTTGTGAGCTTAAGATTAGCTTAATTGTAAAATATATGCTATTGTTAGCTTAATAAAAAATTTTACGCCCTAATTGACAAGTAACAGAAGAACAGTTGAAAAACTCTTGTAAAGGTGCCCGCACAGCACCTATATAACAGACTCTCCAATATATTCATTTATTTAATAATAATACTAACAGTAGACAGAAATACATATTAAAGCCCCATTCCGCCTTATCGAGTATATACAACCGCATTCGGACACGCCGAGGTACGAAGTACTCAATCAGAATTTATGGTGAAGAGTCCAAAGATCAAAAAAGAGGGTTGCATTTGGTAGCCAGCGATTTTATAACGACTGCTCTCAGCCCCGGTATGATGATTTCCCCTGTTAATGAGGAACACCTCAGCACAGTATTGTATACTAAATATGACCTACCCGCCATTAGTTCAAATTGCGGCTAGACATACAGCCAAGCCCACCGACACTATTTAGTAGAGAAACTAAATTTTATCGGGTCAGCGACGCAAGTAAGACCAAAACCCCTTAAGCTGTCTCGCTGGCTAGCTAAAATACTAAATTATATGTTATTTACTAGCTACTTCCACTCCACTTAGCTGCGAAGCAACAGTAAATAATCTACACCACTCTCGTAGCTTTTTTTTCAAGGCTATCTTAAAATCTACTTCTTCTAAAAGGCCTACTGGCTGCTAATAATGTTTATTAAATATCCGCTTTGGGTACCTTTTAGTCTTTATATCGCCTTTTAACCCTCTATTATTGTTAAAAAGTGAAAAACGCGCTTGGCACAATAACTATGGGCAGAGAAGACTGTTAAGCAGCATCTCGTAATTGTTCTTTAATGTGACACGTGTTGTTTAAAAATGTATAGGGACATGTTAACACAAGTGGTTTATTAATAAAGTTAACATACCTTTCGAACTGTCCTGAGCAATTTATTATGTATAATTAATTTATTAAATGGATAAACAGGTCATTTCATTTAAACACATAACCCAAACCAACTGAGCTAGTATTCACTTCGTCACAATGGCTATAGTAGCAATATAAATTAAGTTTGGACTTTGCGATGCTCAGGGTTATTGTTACTTAGACAAGGGCTGATTATTGTACAGGAAACATCAGTAAACTTTTTTAATAAAGAGCTTAGCCAAGTAGTCCCTTTTGTTATTTCACCAATGATCATCAGTTAGCTTTCATCGTCTATAATGTGGTATCTTTAGTGAAAAAAATTTTGACTTAAAGGTAAACTTTAGAAATTTGGTGCTATTAAATTAAGCTACCTAATAAACTTCATTTAACAAAAGTTAAAATGCTCATAAATATACTTCATGAATCCGTGCTATAGGGAGATTTAAAATTTAAAGAGTAGACATTTGTTTCTAACAGTTGTTTTCTGTTAACTTTGCGTGTTTTATACCAGTGCATCAATTACTTGATGTTAAAAAAATTTATAGCTTCAAAAATTTATGCAATTTTTTTTCCAAAAACTATTACGTCGTGCTTCGATTTTATAATTTATGTATAACCTCTTTGTTGCATACCTTATTGTTACAACTTAAAAACATTCATATCCAATACAAGGTGAGAAAGCTCACTTTTCTTCTCACCGTCTACAAATACGTGTCTTTATAACTCTGAAAACCAACCTGTCTTGTTGCCTTGTAAAGTAAGGTTTCAACTAAAATCTGAATAACTTAGCTAAACTATTTTAAGTGAGCCATCCTTAAAAAACTTTTTTTGCCAAAGAGAAATAGTAAAAGCGTTGTTGATATTATATCTGGCGAAACGTTTTCATATATAGCTCTATCAAGATATATGCGAATGTTTTAGCCTTTGTTAAAGGGCGAAAAGTCACTAAATAATCTTCTCAACACCTAGTAAAGCCTCTTTCGAAAATTGCAATCTTAAAGCTTCCAACAAGTTTATCTATATGACTTTACTTTTAAAATAACTCGCAGGTAATTCTGTAACTGGTTGCAATGGACAAAGCAGGTTTTCCCTGTTTAATATATCTAAAAACTATTAACGTAGTGCATACTTAGGAGTCCTCTATCGACTTTAAAATTTGGTCTTTGTTTTATCCCTTTAGGCTAAATTATCACCTTTACAAAATTGCTGGCCCTCTAGACCAATGTAAAACTACAACAACAACGAAGCGTAAACACCGAAAAAGAAAGAATACCACATATATAATACAATTAATTAAAAAGAAACTCAATAGACGATAAATAATTACCCTTAATTACCCTTAATTACTCAAATTATAATTTCCATTTCTTCATCTCTCTTTTTTTCTAAGTCGTTTACCCGTCGTGTGCGAATTGAGCGTTTCCTGTGAGTAGTAGTATACCAAAATAATTTAATAACCGATATATATATGTGTACGTTAGTCTTAAATAATTATTTATACGCTTAGCAGTCACTCGTTATCTAGTGTTAATTCGAAGGCCTAACTAAAAAGTCAAAAGCCCTGTCCAGTCACCTGCATGAGCCAAAGTTTCCGATAATCCCCGGCTAAAAAATTGAAAAAATAACTTGCAAACTTTTTATTAAACAAAGCACAAGCAAAAATCCCAACTCTTATTTGCGATGCGATGAGCCTGGCCCCAATCTTAAAAACTAAATTACTTTGCTTTACTTATACTCGGGTAGCCTTATTGGACGGAAATCCGCCAAATACTATATAGAGCACGATACTCGAAACCGCTGTTCTACAAGAGCGTTACATATTTATATTTATGGCTACAATATTTAATAAATATGTTATATATTGTCCCCATTCTATATTTCGAAACATGGATCTCTATACTTGCTTTTTAAGGCTCCTTGATATTTGTAAAAGGAATATAACCTCCTTGCCTTCGCATTAAGAGCATGAAACAAAAACTGTATTATATTCTCCTTCTTGCATAACTTAGAGTCCACATGGACATCACCAAAGTTTCTTGTTCTCTTTCTAATGTTTTCGCATGTAATCATTTTACTGAAAGTCATAAAGTTTTCTTAGAGTGTAATACTTAAATTGACAACTTACTCGAGTTCTCGTACGAACAATAAAATTCTCGAAATATACCAGCAGCAGCCGGTGTAATAAAAACAGCTATTTTTTTTTTCTTGGTTTAGTGTTGTTCTTTGTTTTTACCTTTGACCTGTACAATTAACTTTAAGAAATACATTTTTTTAATTAAAAATTTTTATAATATTAAAACTATTTTAATAAATATCTACTTCAAACTATATTTGAGATTAAATACTTAAGAAATGGGGGTTGACTGGATACGAACGCGTTTGAGTTTCCGCCCTGCAATTTTTCTACTCGCCTATAAACTAATACTCTTAATTTTGTTCCTACAAGTTTCAACTTTTCGTGACCTTCATTTAACCCCGTTTCCATAGTCTCTCTCTGGTTGTACTACCGTAATAGGTTAATACCCTGAACTTTTATTGTTATAGTTAGTCCTCTACGATTAAATACGCATGGAAAGCGTAGAACCAGAGTGTACAAGCTTAAAAGTAAAATATGACGAATGGTACCTGAAGTTATATATATATAGAAATATAGAAAGTTAAAGTTAATGTTTGCATAAAAAGCTTTAAAAATTGGTATACCACTAAATTTTTAGCTGGAGAAGCCTACGGTGAATGCGAGTGCGACGAGCTCTTCAAAGAGTATCAAAGTTGTGTGCTGGTATGAAATCTTCTTTTTTTTTGTATAACCTTCTTGCTTAACTTTTTGATATTTTAGAATGCTATAAAAACTAAAAAGATATTTGAAGACTTTGATCTTTCGTTGTTCGAAAAAAAGTTTAAAGAAAGTGTTAATAAATAAAATCTCTAAAATATTTATTGATTAGAAAGAATCATATTTAAATTTTAATATATAAGCGGCCTCAACCATTTTATACTGTAATTTTTTATGTCGTCCTTTATATTTTACTTTATTTTTTAGGTTTAAACTCCTGCTTTTTAAATGATATATTTTTTCATCTCGTTGGTGATTACTTATTTTTTATTGTTTTCTTATTATAGTAGCAGTTTGATTTTTCGTTGTGGTTTTTAGACAATCAATTTCCTACGTAATTTCTGCGTTTTTTTGTATTGTACTGAGAGTTATCTGGTCTAATGGTCTATTGAACTCTGTTAAACCCATAAATTAACTGCATAAATTTGGTATTTTATTTCATTTAATTATTTAAATGTGAACACGAAAGTTAAAAAAAAATACGCAGTTGAAAATACTGCCTTTAGTTTCTGACAAGAATAAGTTTCGAGCAGAAAAAGAACCCTACCATGTTAATTCACTGAGGTCCTTTGTCACATAGAGAGAGAAAATGCATTAAACAATGGATATCGTGGCTTTGTAAATTTGTAGCAAATAGTTTATAACCGCTGGGAAATATAACAAAAAATAAAACTTCTTTCCTCAAAACAACTGAATTAAGTGAAAACAATCATCCTGCTTATTTGTTAACACTTAATATTTAAGAAAGCAAGTAGCTTAAAAAGTTCCCAAGACTATTATCATTATGTCTAGATAGCTTTCCCTAAGAGGCCCGTGATGTGGCAGTGAGGAAAGCAAGCAATAGGAATCTTAGAATTAAATATGCAGCTAATAGTTCAAAGTAAATATACGTTTTTTTTTAACCTGAGACTTTTTGATTACCATCTTTAAGGTTAAAAGTACTTAAAAATTAAGTTGGAAATAGTTAAGGAGTTAAAGATTTTTATTAGAGTTTTTAATGTTATAAATTTGAGGAAAAGCTTTGAACTTCACCAAAGTATCCTTCTTACTATATGGCATTTGTAGACTTAAGCTCTCCCCTTTAATTTTTACTGTATTTAAATTCTGTCTGTAAAGTTGCCATAACCTTAATTCCCTAAGAAAAAACGAGAATTTTGTGGTTTAATAACGAAAATACCACGTTCTACAATATTTCATCGCATCTCAATTGCAAGTCCTTAGTTAAACTCAAGCGTTATAACAATCACACCAAAACTATCGTGTTTTTAAAAAGATATAAATTATTTTAAAGCCACTAACTTTAACAGATAAGACAATTTTATCGGAGTACTTGCCTCCTAACAGCTTTACTGACATCTAAAAGTTCATTACGCCTCTCATACTGGTGTGGATGACTTTTTTTAGAAATCGAGAGGGCCCACAAACCAATACTTCGAGCTCCTTTCTAAAGAGTACACAAAATCATATCCTCTTATGAAAGAGTAGAAACTCTGTTCGCCTATTTTAGGTCGAATAATAATAATTATAATAGAGTTAGGTGAGATGGTGAGGGTTAGAGGTAGAGTTAAGATAGGTTATTTTAGAAAGTTGGAATATACAATTGCTTTCGATAAATGCAATGCGAGATTTTCTTTATAAAAAAAATTAGATCTGTCAATACAGAACGTATTTTCCAAAGTTATGCTTTACGAAAAAAACCTTTTATTACTGGCCTTCGCAAAAATAGCCAGTAACGAGTAAAAAGTATTAAGTGCAAATCAATGTTCTTAGAATACAAACCAATTACTCTCGTTTACTTAGGGTAAAATTAATGTATAAATCTTTATTAGACAATATATACACGATATACACTGTAACTAGGTTGACCCTTTGTATCACAACACGTTTAACCTAGGATACAAAATAGGAAAAAAATTAGGTATCTTTTGCACGATCTTGTCTCTATGTACACTTAATTAGTAAATGCTCGTGGCAACGTCTCCTTAAATATATGAAATTACAATATATTAGAATTTATGAGGGCGAGATTAAATACGAGACCATGAAAGAGCGAAAAGAGAGTTGGCGTCGGTGGGAATGGAACCCACGACCTTGAATATGCTCGTCAGTACACCTAACCGCTGAGCTACGACGGCAACTCTCCTACCCGCATGATGGTTTTACGTATTTAACCTGTTACAATAGTCCACAATCTTTCCCATTTAGCTAAATAAAAGTGTGTTAGAATATTCAAACTTTAAAATACTGGTCTTTAAACCTTCAAGTTTTTTAAGCACACGGGTAGGAACAACTAAAACGCTAACAAAAATTGAGATGACTTTTTTTGATAATATTAAAAAAATGGTTGAAATACTCTAAGGGTAAACATAAACGTTGCCTAAGGGCAATATGCGTTTATTACTATGAAGCTGAATTCTATCTCAGTATAATTAATATATTATTCTAAAAATCTTATAATATATATTTCCAAATTTTTATAAAATTTAGTTACTATGTTGAAATAACCAACTTATAACGACACTCAAATAAGGAGTTTCTCCTGTGAGTCAAATCTTAATATTACTATTTTTGAGTTAAAAATTGAATGCTGCTAGTGAGAGCTTTACTTCCGGACGAAAGGACATTATTTTAGCATTGTTGTTCTCCTTCGTGTAATGATAAGTTGTTGTTGCACGCTCCTGACTCCCTTTCTTTCTATGCTCTTCTACTTAGCTTCTATTTCTTTGGTTTTAGTTCCTTTATAATTTTTAAGAAACGATCAAGTTTCTCGTTCGCTATTTATTACTTATTACAACAATTATTCTTTCTGCCTTCAGTAAGCCTAAGAGAGTTTAAATAGAGCTAAAGACGGCATGCTAATAAAAAAATAAAAAAAAGTAAATATACGCAGAATAGAGAAGTCTGTGAGGGTTTCCTTTTACAATGAAAAAAAGGAACACCAGAGTACTTTGCTCTATGGAGCGCTATAACTCGGTGTGGGGGCACTATATAAATAGCGAAAAACTGCTAAAAACCACCGTTTTTTTTGAATAGATGCCAAACCATCTTGTCTGTTTTAAATATTTTAGCTACTAATATAATAGCACTTCCATCCCCCAAAAATTATGAAAAGCTAAAATTAAGTTACTGATTTACATGCTCTAAAGTTGTATGGGCTGCAAGTTAAAACATTTCAGCTTTCAACTAGTGACACTCTTGTTAACCAATATATAATTATTCAAATATAATAACCGCTGAAGTGGGAAAAATTAATGGTGGTCAACTTAAGTACGTGAGGTGTAAGGTTTTCTAACAAACTTGTAATGACTAGAGCTAAAAAACACAAAAAATCAATAAATGATGTGTATCCTTAGCTTATTAAATAAAAGTGAAATTAAGAAACGCAGCCCAACTTAGGGCCCCGTAACTAACTTTCTATTTGTCAGGTGTACTTTACTTTAGCGACATGCTTTTAAAGTTGTTTCAAACTTTAGTTTTACTTCGAAGCGTTTTTGAAACCCTTTTTACGCAAAAAGTTTTGTTAATTTATATAATAGTTTATTTATACCTCAGCAATTTTTATCTATAATATACTTGTAGCATACTGTGTGTAGTTTACTACTTTATACATGCTATAATAGACACAGGACAGCTTAGTGTATGTTTTATCTAAGCACTCTTTTCTTCTGAAAAAGATTTCCCGATTCTAGTCCCAAACAATGAACTTAAAAAATATTAGCGTGCTAGAAACTTTCCTGATTACTGATGAGTTATAACATGCTAAGAAGAATAATAAAAGTTTTTAAGAGGCTGCTAGTTCTTGCTTTTGACCTGCCACCCAAATACCGTTGGTTAAAAATAGCCATGTGGAGGTATATAACTTGTACGTGTATATTCTCGCGGAACTTGCCCTTTTACTTTTTTTCTCACGGGGGCGTGCACTGAGTTAGTACTTCTATAATAAAAACGTTTAAAAAGGAGTAAACAAATTAAATGACTTTAATTATTGCTAATAGATATAATAAATTAAAATAATTTTGAAAAAATTTTTTTATTACAATCGTATTCTTAGCTTATTAACTGTGCTTTGAAGTTTAAGTCTTTTAAATTTATTTGCTTTAATTTTATTATTTGAAAACCTATAGCTTTTGTCTATAAGTTTATTATTTATTAACTCTTATAATTACTTTTTTAATAGTTTCCTTTTTCACCGTATGGTTTTTAATCTGTGTAAACTACGCTAACACATATATATACTATAAAATATTTATGGTATCGTTGATATAAATATTAATAATATTAGCTGTTTCAGGCGTTTATTTTCTTTTTAATACTTTTTTAAACTTTTAATTAATTTTTTTTCTAAGCAATTTTTTTACCTGAAAGAATGGGGCGCTCTGTATATTCAGCTAAACCAACCACCGAGAAATGTAAAATACTTACGATTTTTTATTAATAGTTATAGCTGTTTATTGGCCTTAATTTTTTTACTCGTATATACATTTTATTATAAAATTTATAAATTAAATTTTTTATTATATGTATATAATAGTTGCTTGTGGCCGCGGTTCCGATTTGCGGGTTCATTTCAAGAACACACGAGAAGTAGCCCGCGCGATAAGAGGAATGTACTTAAAAAAGGCGAAGAAGTATCTTTATCAAGTTGCTAAGAAGCAAAGAATAATTCCTTTCACTCGTTTTAAGGGTGACGTTGGACGTCACGCTCAGTGTAAAGAGTTTAAAGTATCCACACAAGGTTATTTTTTTTTTTAAAAAAAAATTTCCTTTTTCTTTTTACCTATGTAGGACGTTGGCCTTTGAAGTCTGTCAAATTTGTAAATGCTCTTTTGCAAAATGTGGAAGCTAATGCGCAGAGAAAAAATCTTAATATTAAGAGATTAAAAATAACACATATCCAAGTTAATGCCGCTGCGAAAATGAGAAGACGCACATATCGTGCGCACGGACGCATCAACCCTTACATGTCCTCGCCTTGTCATATAGAGATTATTGCAGAGGAAGCCCAGGAAGACGTCCCGCGACCACCCAAAGCAAAAAATATGGGACTCGTGAAAAAGACTGCGGAAAAATAATTTGGGTTGTATAAAAAACGTAGACATTAAATTGAATTCTATTTAAAACTTATTTATAATGTTGGCGTTTGATTTTGTAATTAAATTTAGTTTTATTTTCGATATTGAAATTTTTATTAAAAATTATTAGTTCGATGTTTTTTACATTTAATCATTTTTTTGGTAGTTTTACTTTTGTTAATTTAAATTTACTCCAATAAGTTGACTTTACCCAATAATTTTTTTTACATAAGAAACTTTTATTAATTGTTTGCAAAACTTTTTGATAAAAAGCAAAAAAAATAAAGGCAACTTGAGAGTTTAAATTAGAAAGTGAATTAAATAAATTTAAATTTTTTACGGCTTTATTTTTATTTTATTTTATTATATAACCTATAAAGCTTATAATCTATAACTCTTGATCGATATCTTCTATGATATGGGCGTCGTCTTCGTAATTTTTATCCGTTTCCAACGTTTTTAGAAAGATTTCCTTACCTAAATTTTTATAAATTAAAAACATAGTTAACTAAATTATACAGCACACAAACTAATTAGTATAAAGCTGCACACAAGGGTTTTTTTACTGCATTATTTATAAATAAAATTTTATAGTTAAGTAAAAATATATTAAAGGTTAATAAGAACGAATTTTTAAATTTTTTGGGGGTAGTGTTAGTAGGATATATATATAGAAAGGGTGAACCACGCAGATCTCTAGGGAGCCAAACAACCACGCACTTCATATCATATTAACAGGCCAATTAAAGTTTTTTTAGAACAATTTTTAAAAATACATAATGTCTGTTAAAGTGTAAATATATAACGCTAAACAATGGGCAAGTTTTAGCAATAAAGTAGAAGCGTGCGAGCTAACAACGCGTAAGCCAATTTAAAACAAACCTCAATTAAATACACTTGAACTAATTTTTAGCGTTCAGAACCCCGAAAGAAATACTAAATCCAGAATAACTATAACATTTATATAAACAACCCTTTCTTTTTCTAAATAGGACACTCGCGTTACTTAACTTTGACAACGATGTCGACTACAGTGGACTATAACGTTTTGTAATCCAATGTCGCTAAAAAAGGCCTTAACCATAGTTACAGGCGCTAATGGGTGGATAATAATAAAAAGTAGCAAATAGTTGTGGTTGTTACGGATATAAAGTGCGCCAAAGTCTTCTTATATAAACAGAAGGCACGAATAAATGGAACGTGTACCGGTTAGCGTGTTTTTACCATCCCGTTTCTTCATTTTAACACTTTCTGATTCTTCATCTCTGCTTTCCGCCTCAAACTTGTCTCGCCAAAGTAAGAAATTTTCTTTCGTCACTATAGTTCCGTGTTTTCTCTTAGATTCCTTATAAAATTTGTTGAAACCTTATATTAATTTAGTGCAAACCATAATTTTCTACACCGAGTTAATAAACAAAAGAAATAATAAAAGTAGCGAAAAAATTCTTCTATAAAAAAGGGGTAAATCCTAATGGTAACTTTTTACTTTACTCTTCAACGACTTAATTCGAATTAAGTTGAGAATTTGTAGAATTTGAATTTAATATAAAATGAAGTGAATTAATAGTGAACAAAAAAATTAAACAACTTAACAATAGAAATAAATAAAAAAGTGGATTTCCTTTCTGTAACTTAAAATTTAAGCGCAAGACTTAATAATAAAGAGTAATTTAATAAGCCAAGCAAACAAGATTGATAGCTAATATCTCAAAGAGTTTTATATACTAAAACTTAAAGAAGTGGTGAACGCTTTGTATTGATAGAGTAAATAGACAGCAGACAACTATAATAAAGTGGAAAACAAATAAAAACGTTATTTTTATTTTAGGGAAAGATAATAAAAATAATTACTAAAATTGAAACTAAAAGACTGATTACCGAATAATTAGTTAAAAAACCTAAACCGACTAAAATTTTCTATAATTAAACGTGTCAGGGATAATTTTAAATAGTATTTTACCCGTGTAAACTTTTGTTATATTATATTTAAGTAGAACTGATTATAAAAGTTTGGAAAGCACCTTTTGGGATTCTTATATTTATGTCATCAATAAAAAGGAGTAAACAAACTTTGAGCAACTTTATTTTTAACACCATTTAATCGAAAACCAAGATTATTTTATAAGTAAAAGAGATTTCATCCTAGACTTTCTTTAATATGTAAACTGGAATTGGGTATTTAATATTGTAAAAAAACTTTATAATAAAAAGTAATCTTTATAACTTTCCGCGTCATATAATTTATATTATAAATTACAATATTTCTTTAAAAGTATCTAAGTATTAAGTAAAAATTAACCGATTTATATCTAAATTACTTTTATAAAATAGTAACCATTTTAAGGTATTTAAATTTTATCGTCATCCCATTCTCTATAACATTAAAATTCGAAAAAGATAAAAGGGAGACACGTGCGAAAAAAAAAAAAGAAAACTTCCTTGACACTTCCTATCAACTTATGAAAAGCTACATACTAAAAACGCAAGTGATAATATAAAATATAAAAAAATAATTTACTAAACTAATCTTTTAGCTTTTTTTATTCATACTACTAAAAAAAATTTATGAAAACAGAATACAATTATAAAAAGTATATAACATAATATAAAAGAACAAACAAACTTCGTCCTCCCTTTTTTTCCTAGAAAATTCAAGTTCAGTGGCTTTTAGCTCAGCCAAATAATTTGAGGCAAAATTCTTGGCTTCCGTGTAAATTTGATAGATCATGGTTGAGCCAAGATTTTCGTTCGCCTTGCGTAAAAAATTAGATAAACAAATTAACTTTACAATTATAATTTCCGTACAAATATACACTACAAAATTATATAAAAATTAAATATATTCATAAATTTAGTTTAAAAATTTTTGCAAGCTACTCCAATGGAATGAAAATTTCAAGTTAATTATAAAAATAACTTAAATAAATTAATTATAACATTTTACTATTCAGATATAATTACTACTAAAAGCAAAAAAGCTAAAGTAAATGAATTAAAGAGTCGAGCAAATGTGCTTTGTAGAAGTCAGTTTTGCTATGAAAATTGCTACTGGCCCCAGTACAAAACAAAGTTTTTGCGGGTACCGAGCTTTTAAAAGTGTAAAATATTCTTGCCAAGTTTGCAATAATATATATTTATCTATTTAATTTTTAAAAAGTAGCCTAAAAAAATAGGATATTGAAAATTATTAAGTAAGACTTGTCTATAAATATAAAGTTTATGATATTAAAAATAGCAAATATAAAGTAAATAAGAAAAGTATAAAAAAAGCAGTCTTTTATTAATAAGATAAGCTAAAATCATTCTAATTTAATGTGATATAAAATGGAAAAGTAAATAATATATTTACAATTAGATTATTTAAATAGTTAATAAAACTGCCTTACAAATATTGTAAAAAGATTAAACAGTTTAATAATCATTTATATAGTATACAAAAATAAATAAAACAACTTGCCATATTGTTAAAAAAAGTTAAAATTTTTTAAATACAAATTAAAGCTTAAAACTTCAATCCTGATAACAAACAAATGAAAGTTATTTGGTTACAACTCGCTTAATTAAAAACTATATGACCATGCAAACGCAAACAGAATGATATTTAAATTAAAATTAATCTTATAATTAAGTTTTATAAATTATAAAAACTAATTTTGCCAAATAAAAGTTAACCAATTAAGTTAAGTATAACTGAAACAAAAAAATATTAAATAACTTTGAGAAAAAAAAGAGAGCTTTGAAGTATAAAACACTATTTTATAAACGAAGTAGAAGTATAAAATTTTATCGTAGTCAAAATAATGTATTACCATAACTATTTCCTTTTTTAATTTAAATAAACATTACTGTTACACTTGATAAAAAATACACCTGATAGATAAAATCAAGGAATATATTTACAAAAAAAAGCTCAATAAAACAACTTTTACAATTCCTTAAAATTTTCAAAGATTGTTATAGTTTAATCATAATAAAGGCTTACAAAACTTTCTAAATTGGATTGAATAAGAGAGGAAAGTACATCTGAAATTTTAAACTGTTACCATATGAAAAATAAAAATAAGGCATGATAAGAATAAATTCAGAACAAAAGAAATATATCACACTAGTAACAGTTATTGTTGGAGGTTTATTTGGGTATTCATCGGAAAGAGTAAATTCTAAAGTAAATAAAGAGTTTGAAGAATCTTCTAATTCGGTTTCAAACGAATTTAAAGTGAAACTGACGGTAAACTTCACTGGAGACTCTCTTGAAATAACTAACTTAAAAACAATTGAAATACCAAAGTATGTATAATACAGTAATACAAGAAAATTGGGATGACCTGTCAGTTCTTCAGAAAAGATGGCTTCCAAAACTTCAAGCTCTTCGAGCTGCTCACTTAACGCTAAATAAAAAGAAAAGATAGGACACTAAATGATAAGGTAAATAAAATTTAATTCGGGTTTTTATTTAAAACTAGTCTTATAAGAAGAGTGAAAAACAAACTCATTGGCTAAAGGTTCGGTGCTTCTTC